CAACGTAACGTATAAGACAACCCCCCCCCACTTGGAGGCATGTTTTTCAGGGCCAAAAAGTTGTCTTGTACGCCGGCAAATACGGTAGCTGTTTGAGTGTTATAGCTATTTAAGCAAAGATATTATACAGCACGTCCCAACAAACAATCTAAAGTCTATATTTTGGACTAACAGCAGTTCCTGACAGCCTGTACAGTGGTACCTTGACTTCAGAACGTCCCTACATAAGAACAATTCAAGTTAAAAACGGCTCCATTCGGAAAAAGTTGCTTTGACTTGAGAACGGAGCCTTGACTTAAGAAAAAACCCCTCCTCCCTGCCCCTTTTTTGACCTAAGTTCACCTTAGGTCAAAATAATAATTTTTTTAAAAATCGCCCCCTAGTGGTAGATAGAGATTAACCGGCTTTGTATTAGTTCCTATGAGAACTAATGCTTTGACTTAAGAACAGCACCTCGACTTAAGAATGAAAAACAGCAGACACAGACTAAATGGTTTTCTTTTTCTTTTTTTACTTTTTTACTTTTAAGTTTTATTTTTAATTAATTTTAAAACAAAAACAATTGCAACAACAAAAATATAAAAATACAAATAATAGTACTATTTAAGACTACATTCTAATGTGCACCCCATACCCACGGGACCCCACTGAACAATTTTTATTGCAGATTTCCTTTCCAAAATTGTATAGATTGTTGTTTAGAGGCTTTCCCCTTTCCTTTCACTAATACAAGTTCAAAAAATTTGCCCCAAATAGCATAAACAATATTAGAACTTATTTCCCCTCTTTTCATCTTAAATTCAGTAGTCAATTTATCATTTAATGTGATGTCCCATACTTCACTATACTAAACTTCTAATTAAAGTGTGTGGGGTGCAAGGTTGCTTCTAAGGCATGTGCCAGCATGCGCACAACTCCATCTCCTTCCATACAGCAATAGTTTTCAGCCCTTTGGTTCTGGTTGTGACGGAACCCTGCGAGGGGGGGGGAAGGTGGAGTCATACATGCGAGGGCTAAAAATTAGAGGGTATCAGTTCTTAAATCGAGGTACCACTGTATTATCTTGTATATCTTAGCTCAATATACTCTTGCTCCCATTAGTGTCACGGCACTAATCTGGCTTGGTGGGGTGCACTTCCGATAAGAAATAGGACATGAGAAAAACACACCACTAAATCCTGATTGTTTAACCATAAATAAGATGGAATCAACACAACAACCTGAAAAATACTGACAGAGAAAGAAAATAGACAGATACGGCCTTGGATCTAAAGTAAAATCAACTTAAAACATGGATGTTTCGGCAGGCCTTCCCTCCAGTCAATCCCTGATGCCCTCTTTCTCCCTTCTATTTGTCTATTTTATTATGTCTATTTTTATGTAAAATTGCTTTATATATTTTCACTGTTCTATTTTATGTTGTTAGCCACCTAGAGTGGTCTTAATGGACCAGATAGGTGGGATATAAATAAAATTAATAAAAAATAATAAAATAATAAAGTAAAATAAGCTGATTCATCTAGTTATGGTAGCATGGTCAACTAAAACAGTGCATAGTCTGCTTTTAAATATCCAGGAGCTTTTAAGCTATAAAACTGCATTTTACATTGACCAATGACACTTCCATACCTTCATAACAAGGTCCCTCAAGCAGAATACAATCCTGTTCAATGTGAGTGTATTTCAAGAGAGAGTTTGGGAATGCAAAGAAAGACTTTAATATCTTTGAGGGTGATCCTTGAAAAAGATATTTATAAATGTGCATGCCATCCTCTAAGTATTCTGGTCCAAAGTCACACAGGTGTTTAGAATTCAGCATCAGTACTGTGAATGGGCACCAGCGTATGATTACAGTTACCGTATTTGCTGGCATACAAGGCGACTGGGCGTATAAGACGACCCCCCGACATTTCCACTCAAAATATAGAGATCCTTATATGCTCGCCGTACAAGACTACTCCCTCTTCCGCACACCATCCACACACCAAATGTCTGGGGTTGTGAGGTGTCTGTTTCAAAGCATCTGAAACGCTTTGAAGTGCTTTCTCCATTTGTTGCCTGGAGGACTCTGTTGCCAGGGCGACTCTTTCCCTCCGGAGGACCAGTGAGACAAAACAGAGTGGTGCTGTCTCCATTTGTTGCCTGGAGGACTCTGCTGCCTAGGTGACTCTCTTTCCCTCCGGAGGACCAGCGAGACAAACCGGAGAGACCAGCTGAGACAAGGCGGGGAGAGATACTTTCGAAAACCAGCTCAGTGGATTGTGCCTGCAGGGAGACCAACTTGAGCAGCTCGAACAGTGGGAGAACTGTCGGGTCCGAGAACCGGGAGCGGCATTTTTGGGAGTTGGGAATATTGGTGGAGCTCTGCCTGGGCTTTGATTCGGGGGGAGCTCCCTCCTAGACTGGAGCTGCTGAACAGAGGGACGTGGTGCCTGGCTTTCAGAGTCAGCTGCTGGAGGGGCGCTCGGAGACACGATTCGGCTTCACGCTGTCAGGGGCGCGTGGATATACCCACTCTGGGCTGTTGGGGTTGAAGTGCATCCAGCGTATACAACGACAACCCCCCCCCACTTGGAGGCATGTTTTTCAGGGCCAAAAAGTCATCTTGTACGCCAGCAAATACAGTATATGAGCCAACAGTGTGATGTGACTACAAAAAAAAAAGGCAAATGCTATTTTAGGCTGCATTAACAGAAGTATAGTCTCCAAATCCTGTAATGTACTAGTTCCCCTCTATGTGGCACTGATTTGGCTTCACCTTGAGCATTTTGTCCAGTTCTGGACACCACACTACAAGAAGGATGCTGACAATTTCGAACAAGTTCAGAGGAGGGCAAGAAGGATGATCAGCAGGCTGGAAACCAAGCCCTATGACAAATGACTAAAAGAAATGGGCATGTTTCACCTTGATAAATTAAGTTGCACAATAGTTGCACAATTGAGGAGAGATAGGATAACACTTTTCAAATACTTGAAATGCTGTCATTCAGAGGAGGGGCAGGATCTGTTCTCAATCATACCAGAGTGGAGGACATGGGCTAAAGTTATAGCAAGCAAGATTTAAGCTGAATATCAAGAAAAACCTCCTAAGTGTTAAGAGCAGTGTGGCAATGGAATCAATTACTTTGAGAAGTGGTGAGTGCTCCAACACTGAAGGCATTCAGGAGAAATTTAGATAACCACCTGTCAGATATCCTTTGATATGTATTCCTGCATTGAGCAGGGAGCTGGACCCAATGGCTTTCTAGGTCCCTTCCAATTTCATTATTCTATGATTCTAATAATGATGGTATGGTGAAAATGCTTTTGGTGAAATTCTGTGGCAGTCAGTGTGCTAAAAGATATGGCTGCAGAAATTCACAGGAAGTTACACACAGCAATCCACATATCTGATAGCACTACTAGTTGCAGAGCTGATTGGGCACATTGATATAAATTTCACCTGTGGAACTGCTTACTGAATACAACTTTTCTCTTGGTGCAAAATATACAATAGCCTCACAACTTTGTTATCTAGGTGCAGCTATGGAACAGGATTTTGGCCTTTATCTAGATATACTTGATTGAAAATAAAATTTACCTGTCCCTTTCACTCCCAAACCTTTGTTTCTATGTCTCCTACTGTTTGTGAGCTTGAGCTGAATTTGAAGAGTTTTCTAGTAATTTTCTTCTCAAATAACAGATCAGTGGGGAAAGTGGCAATAAAAAGCAGGTCTTCAGGTTTCCAGTCTTGAATTATAATGATCCCTTTTGACAGTCACTGTATGTTTGTGCTTAGTCTGCCTTCAAAACATGAGAAATGCAATACTGAAGCACTTTTTGAAGTCCCAAGTTTTTTATGTAACTGCTCCACCTTGTAATCTACTTTTCAAGCTACATGGAAAGAATATTTTTTAGCATTGTTGGTTGCTTTTCAATATATCAAAGTGACTGCAGAGCCATTAATTTCTCAATACATTCAGTGCTATGAAAAAAA